TGATCTTCATACTCACGAGCTAAATAATATGATTGATATACTGGCGATCATAAATAATGCATCAAAAAAAAAAATTCGTTAGATCAAATTTTCTCACGCAATTCCATGTGTATTCTTTTACTTTTTTTTTTTTATTTGTAAATACTATCCCTTTATCAGTAAAATTTTTTTAAAAAATTAATCAATAAAATTTTTTAGATGCACAAGCTTTATTTGAATTCATGTTCTGCATCTCTTTTGCTCGTTTTTACAATAGCATGAACCTAAAATACAAAAATTTTTTTGTACACTAAAAAAACAATTTTTTTTTTCTATTTAATTTCCCCACATGTTTACCATCTAGTATAGCCGCTCCGAGCCCTAATGACGTCGCGAACTCATTCTGGCATTAAACGAATCAAGTTTGTGCAGGTCTCAAAATCGATCTGCTCCCACACCAACTAAATTTTCTCCCAGAGGTCTTTTTCGCTCGAAATATTGCCGGGAGCTTTCTCTAGCGACGGTCGACTTTGGCCCACAGGTGTTCGATCTGATTTAGATCGAGAGACGCAGGAGACCACTTGAAGGTTTTAATCTCATTCCTTCTAAACCAACGCTTGGTTAAGGTTGCAGTATGGCAAGAGGCACCATCTTGCTGAAAAATTATATTCTGCGCCCTAAATCCATGATTCCTCATGGTTCCCAGAAGGTCGTCGCGAAGTATCAGCCGGTACAACTCACCATCCATCGTACCATCGATTTTACAAAACCCTCCAACGCGCGGGATGTAAAACAACCCCAGATCATAACGGAGCCACCCCCATGCTTCACTTTTGGTTGTACGTGGAAGCAGTTTAACGGTTCCTCAGGACGCTTTTAGTAATACTGCTTCCCATCTGAGCAAAAAATTTGGAACCGTGATTCGTCTGACCAAATTACCTTTGACCATTCTTCGATGGACCAGTCTGTGTGTTTCTTGCAAAAATCGAGCCGTGCTTTTTGATAATCAGCGCTTAGGAACAGTTTTTTTTGTTTAATCCCGAAATCAAACCATGCTCCCGGAGTATACGGTGAATAGTAGAAGCCGAAACTTTGAGGTTTTCCTTTTCTTTCAGGTAGGAGACCACCTGTACCATGGTAGAGCAGCATCGAGAGGTAATAAGGTTCACAATCTTCATTTGGGCTAGTTCACCCAACGACTAGTTCACCCAACGAAGGTGGGCGACCAACCCTTCCTAAATCTTGGAGTGTCCAGTTCTCAAGCCACCTTTTCTTGATACGGCAGATGGTGAAAGAGGCAATATGGCAAGCCCGACCTATAGCCCTCGTCGTGTATCCTTTTTGAAGCGAGAGCAATATTTGTGCTCTTTGTTCGGGAGTGGTATGGTTCTTTTTTTGGATTTTCAATTATCAATTAATTCCAACATTGCACAAGATGCAAAGTCAGACAAAGAAAATCTATTTATAATTTTGTGTCACATAGTACACATAAGCCATCTGATATTCGGGAAAAACAAGCAAAAATAATGCATCATGCGTTTTGTAATACACGCGTGATTATTTTCGGATTGGCAGTATAGATGTTAGATAAAATTCTACAAGTAAATAGTGACGCCATTCACGAATAAAAAAACAAAAAAACAAAAGGATACATGTGAAATAGCGCGAGAAAATTCGATCTAATGATTTTTTTTTTTTGATGCATTATTTATGATCGCCAGTGTACAAATAAACCAGTTTGAAGAGCATTACATAATAGTAAATAGGTCAATATGTTCTTTATTTGTGAACTTGATTGCCATCTTTAATTTTATTGATCAATAAATGATCTTATTCTCACGAGCTGAATGAAATTATTTGAAGGGTATTACATAATAGTAAATAAGTATATATACTCTTAATTTGTAAACTTATTTTTTGATTTTAATAATTAATAGATGATCTTGATATTCACTATCTAAATGGAATGATTAATGTGAATGAAATGATTTGAAGAATATTAAATAAATATTTATGATTTTCAATGTGTGAATTTGTTTTGCTAAATTTAATTCCAACAATTAACAATTTTTATACTCACTTGCTGAATAAAATGATTAGTTGCGAGTGAAATGATTTGAAGGATATTGCAGAATGGTAAATAAGTATTTATGTTCCCGATTTGTGAACTTGTTTTGCAGATTTTAATTCCAAATGGTCTTTATACACACCCACTAAATTATACAAATAAAATAATTTGAATAATATTAAGTGATAATAAGTACTTATGTTCTTGGTTTGTGAACTTGTTTTGCTAATTTTAATTCCAGCTAATAAATGATCTTTATACTCACTAGCTGAATGAAATGATTGGAGGGTATTACGTAATGATAAATAAGTATTTATGACTTTGATTTGTGAATTTGTTTGCTGATTTTAATTTCAAAAATTAATAAACGATCTTTATACTCACCCCCTAAATTATACAAATGAAATTATTTGAATAATATTATGTTCTTGATTGTGAACTTGTTTAGCTATTTTATCTCCACGACTAATAAAAGTCTTTATACTCATGCGCTGAATGAAATAATTAATGCGCATGAAATGACTTAATTGTGAACTTATTTTGCCAATTTTAATTCCAATGATTAATAAATGAACCTTATTATACTCACAGACTAAATTAATGCGAATGAAATTATTTGAAGGATATTAATAATGGTAAATAAGTATTTATGTTCTTTATTTGTGAACTTGTTTTACTGTTTTTAATTCCAATTAATTATTAATAAATGAACTTTATACTCACAGACTAAATGCGAATAAAACTATTTGAAGGGTGTTTTGCAGATTTTACTTTTAAATAATAATACATGATCTCTATACTCACGAGCTAAATTATAAATAAATATATTTATAAATTTAAATAGCTGCTATATGGATTAATAAATTTAATAGATGCTTACTCCCTGATAATTGAATAGTTAAAATCGTATAAAATGTTCCAATTTTAAAATAAAATAAAAAAAATTACAAACTATTATACAGTATTATAATACAAATTAGAAATTAGCTTACTTTTTAATCCATTTCTTAAATTTATCTTCATCGTTTTCATAACGGTAACAAATAGCAGTTTTATAGATTCCATTAAGATTACCCATTTCAGCGGATTTTTGGTAATGCTCAAATGCTTTGTGATTATTCTTTTCAACACCAATTCCTAAATAATAACAATATCCAATTTGATACATTCCATTAGAATTGGCCATATCTGCGGATTTTTGATAATGAATGAATGCCTTGTTTTCATCCTTTTCAACACCAATTCCATATTCATAACAATAGCCAAGCCTGTATATTCCATCTGGATCGTTCATATCTGCTGATTTTTGGCAGTTAATAAAATTCAGTTGAGTAAAATCTTCTACTAGTCGTTCTTTCGTTGAGTCTTCATTTTCCATTGTGTTACGAAGAGTAAGAAAAAAAAAAAAACTTACAGTGCAGTGGTTATACAATACTGCAATATAAATAAAATAGTTAACAATATATCCTAAATTGTACCGGTGTAATATTTGGCAATAATTACATCACCTGAATATTATGTCGCCCACCAATAAATAATGCATGTTGTAAAAAGCCACCCGGAAGTGCTACTAAATTTCAATTTAAATTTTTTAAATTGAACGATAAAAGTAATAATGAAAATGTAAATGGATAAAATTTTTAATTTAATGAATTTGACCAAAACATTAATTCCATAAAAATAGCTCAATTGAACTCTAAAACTTCGAAGAGTACTAAGTTTTCTCTTAATTATGAGATTTCGTAAATTATCATTATTTGTATAATTTTTTATAAACCTAGCTGCTAGGGATGGTAAAAATCATGTTTGGCCCTATTCCATAGAAATCCAAGTTTGGAAACATTTCGAAACAAAGTTCGAATAATATCCTGTGAAGATTGAACGTAAGTTCTTGACTCTGCACATATGCACTTAACCGTTACGTATCGATATACTGTATATGTGCGTACATTTTATAATCTGATAATAAAAATTCATTTATCTTTTAAAACGAATTACTTTATGGAGTGAAATAAAAAAGAATTAGGCAATATAAAACTTATAAGTATATGTCTTCTAACATTAAATTGAAGAACAAGTAGTTTTAAAATTCTTATTTCCAATCCCGTTATTCACGAATATACAAGTTATATATATATTACAATGCAAAAATTCTTAAACTATTTGAATACATTCCAATAGTTAGTAGCTTTAAGTTGAAATTCTCTAATACAACCATTGATATTTTTATTTTCATTTGTCATCCTTGTGCTATTTTTCTGGGATCGCACATTTGATACTGGGCACATGGTGTTATATCATTTATAGTTTGCTTATTTTCCATTATCCTTATCTCTTTTAGAACCATCGTTTGTTGCGGATTATATATTCGAGATATACGTTTTTCTGAGTCAACCAGGTATCGGTACCCGTCAATAAATAACTAACCACTACCACTACGCCATGAAGGTTTAACAGTACTTGTAATAATAAATTTTTTAAATCATTCTTTAATAATAATACGCTATTTTATCGTTCTTGAAATTTAATACAACAATGTTTTATTCTATTCTTTCGGCCAAAAACAAAAACTATTATATATTGTACCTGGAAAATTTTTTTAAAATGTCTGAGATATTATCGGCCATATAATGCTAATCAGAAATTAGTTATTTAACAAATTTAATTGATAAAAGCATTTGCCTATTTTAAGTATTGGTGATAAAATTTTAATGCTACGATGTTAATTGTTTTATCGATCGATTATAGACATTTTGAGCTTGTTTTTAAATTTTTCGGTTAAGAATTATAATTTATTGATTGACCAGAAAAAAAAATAAACAATTATATTTATAAAATGATCCCTCCAAATTTTCAACAGTTAATATTTTCCTAGTATAATCATAAAGTTCGTAATGAAAATATACATGACTTTATTATAGAGTCATCTTAATTACAAAATATTAGTTAACTACTATATATCGGGTTTTTGTTCTACTTTTGTAGACTCGGTTTCCTCGTTAATAACCTCTGATTTTGTAATATCTACTGATGAATTATTTAAAGGTCCAAATTTATCTTCATAAAGTTTAACTTTTGCTCTTAATCTGAATACAAGGTCTTGAAGACG